ACATTCTGCTGTCATCCATACTAGAGAAATTAAACAGAGAATCCACCTGCATTACAGCTGTCCAAAGGCAGGACAGGGTGGCACAGCACTTTGCTTCACCCAGTGTTTTCCTCACTCTACTTGGCAATGCAGATAAAAGAATAAAGTTACATTTTCCCTTAAGTTTATAAGGTGAAATGGGAACACTTAATTCTGTGCTACTCCCCCTAGGAAAAACCCAAAACAAACAAACAAACAAAAACGCTTTCTACTTGCCAAATCTGATACCAAAATTAACTAGCTCTCTTGGAACTATGCTTCTGAAGAAAATGCATTAGTGGGAATTTTAACAGAAAACCCATTATACTCATGCTGTTACTAAAACTTTTGCAAGTTCTTCTCTTCAGAAAAAAGAGCCTCATTTTAAATACTGATACTTCTAAAGAAAATAAAATATCAATTCTCTACTAAGATTCCTTTTGGGGGGGTAGAAACACAAAAGAATCACACATTTTCCTACTATGTTTGATAAGCACAGTGCTACCATCAAAACTGCAGGAATGACCCTCCTAATTAAATCAACCCCAAAGAATGAAACCCCAGACTAAACAAGGAGCAGTCAAACAACCGCAGTGTTCTGTTTTTCTTTCAATGCATTCAGCATTAAGAGGCGACTTTAAAAATGTATATTCGAATTATACATTTTCATCTTGTCAACATCTCTTAATACATAAACAAGTCATAAAAGGTAGTCAGAAGTTCAGTCTTAATATAGTTTCAGGATTACCATACTGCTTTCCCTAATTGCTACTTTACTATGTAATTCAGAACACCACTTTGTTACAATCTGTTCATAAATATCTATGAACAGATCTTAAATTAAACAAAGGGGGAAAACAATAGCTCTTGGGAGCCTGGAGTGGAACTAGCAATGAAGCAGTAAAGGTAAGCAATTTTCAAGGTGCTGGTTCCATTTTCAGACTACACTGTTACTGTTTGTTTCAATGTAAGAGTACTCATTTACAAAAGTGTCTTTTCTGAATACATGCACGGTTTCAAAGTAGTAAGTATCAACAATTGGATTTATTAGCATCTTCCTTTAGAAGAGCTTAAAACACTCTTGATGTTTATGATCTCATTTGCCTTCCAGCAGCCTTGTGACACAGAAAGGGGAGGATTATAATTACCCCCATTTTACAGACAGGGAAAGTGAGAAGGAAGGATTAAGTGGCTCGCCCATAGACACACAATGACTCATTAAGATCAGCAACTAGAAACCTGGTTTCCTGATTCCTGGTTTAGTGTTCCACATACTATGCTTCCTTCTATGAAGTACTATTTTTGTAAAGGTTTCTCTTTCAATAAAGGAAACAGAACAAGTCACGTGACTTTCATTCACGAAAGCCCGTGTGTGTTTTCATTAGCACCTTAGTTGTCTGCTCCTGCGAAGAGGGCAGCAGCAGTGCGTGCCATTGTCTTCTTATGGCCAGAGCCAGCCAACTAAAGCAAACCAGCGCCCGCCACAGCAAACAGAAAGCTTGTGTGGTTTGTCAATCATCTCACTGGATTTCTGAATTTAGGAAAATTCTCTTCTTTACAACTTCAAAAGGCAAAACTTTTCAACATAAATCGTGATTTTATTGTCCCTTTGGAAACATGTCTCTTATCATTCTTTCACCGTAGGATAAGAACTGATAGTCCTTGTATCCAACAAAACTTAAATATGGATACTTTCAGTGGTAATTCTGATCTAATCTGTTTTATACATACATACATATATATATATATATGTGCCAATTTTAGAATAAAATCCCTAAAATCACTAAAGAGGAACACTAAAACAGCATATTTTATGGCATTCATCAATCTACTATCCTAACACAAAAACATAAAAAGTTAATTGTAAAAATCGGTTTTAAAGCGCAGGAAATTCCGTAGCGTATTTCCAATTCCCAAACAACAAAACCTAACAAATTGGTTGGAGTTTCCACATGCATACACACCAAAAACACATGATAAGTAACTTTAACTTGCCCTAAAATAAGATGCATAATTTAGAGTTTGCTCTGGACTAATAAAAACAGAGGTACCTGAGATACACTTTTTAATTGGCTCTTGCATTGAAACCCCATCCCCATTCACAATTCTATTGTAAACAACTGCCAGACATGGCTGGAACCTTACCTCTCTGCTATCACTTATGCAAATGCCAAACATTACCCAAGTAACCCCAAATTATTCTGCATCAGCATCACTAATGAGATCTTCCCAGGCAGAACAGGAGGAGCTCAGGGTGGAAACACAGGCCACTTCTAAGAGCTAGGCAGGGCAGGGGGCCGCCTAGTAAGTGCTTTCTCTACTTCGTCTTCAAAGAAATGCTTTGCGAGTCTGCCTTCTACAAATCATTGCCTTAAAGGACACTTATCTACTGTGAACTCTGTATTTATGAGCATCACAAACAAATTTCTAGTGCATGTGTGAGTTAAATAAAAGTGGATATTCATCCCAAGTTCCTAAACGTTTCCTTTCTGTCTCAACGGACCACAACTCTGGTGCTACGTGGCCTAAGGTGACACTAGTCTTTCCTATTCTGCTGTTCTCTGTGTTCAACTTACTTTACTAGAAACCCAGTGGGGCAGATAGTTCCTTTTTTAAAACGTGATTTGGCGTGGTGGACTGACTGCAGTTGTCCATTTTGATTTAAAAGAGTCCTTTTACATCTTAGAAGAGGGTTCATCATGATACCCACACAAACTTCGGAAAAACAGCAGCCCTAATGATCTCTCATCTTTGTTCAGCACCCATAGAACACAGGCTTCTGTTTGGACTTCACAATCGAGAATCCTATGGCTGAAAGGAATTTTATGTTGGTGGGAAATCTTAAATGAAAGCTCAATCCAGTCTCTAAATAAATTTATCTCTTAGAGTTCAACATTTTCACTAACCTGAAAAGGGCACTGTCTCCTATTTGGACCCCAATTCTGAATGTATCAGCTTCATCAGAAAGGCCTTAAGTCCCTCCAGGCCTGTAGGCACAAATTCCAGCTTATGGCCCCTGCTATGGCAGAGCCCACTGCTGGGGTCCCACCTCCACCCACTCCAGGTTTGTCCCACTGGCTCCACTGAAAGCAGGAAAAGGTGTTATGTTCTTAGGCTGTTTTCTGATTAGAATCAGATTCCGGCAAGATGTAGTTTACTTTCATGTTCACACTAGCATATACCCATTTGTGCAGACCATAAATATGTGTGTGTTTCCCCCCTCAATTATACTGCTGCTGTGTTTATAATGGTCTGTGTCTTAAAGACAGCTAATCCTTCAACTTTCTGACACACTAGCAATAGTGTATAAGTAACTCCAACCAAAGTGACCTTCAGCTGAGAATCACTGTTCATGGGATACATTCTAGCGACTTCCAATGATTTAATTGGATGCTGAAGCACCACACTCCTGATAATTCTCTGTGACTCTTTTCATCTTCTAGTCTACGGTTTTAATAAAGGAAAGAGCTTTTCTCTATTACACTGGAATAACAGGGTATTCACCCCACAGCTATAATTTTAAATCCCATGGACCAACAGTCCTAAGTATACTATAAAACAGATACCAGATTTGGATAGCACTAAACTGGTCTATTTAAGAACAAAAGGCTGCAAATCCCCAGCCCACCCTGATCCTCATCTTATGACCCTTGAAAATTGTTTACACCTTAGGCTCACATCTAGTCCACCATCCAAATTTTACTATATGTTTCACTGTTCCCATAAAGCCTCTATCCTGCTAGGAACCCCACAAAGAAAACAGCTACGAAATTAAATAAAGTCTCCCGAATTGAACATTCACCTTTCCCTTTCATCTCCCCCACCCAAACACCATTCAAAGTTTAGACAACCAGAATGCACCACCAGCTGCAAAGTCAGCCCAGCTCTGTCTCCTCACGGATATTTGATGAGAACGCGAAGAACAATACCAGCACCCTCCTATCCAATTGTTCTTGAAAAGACCTGTGTTTTTTTTGTCTTTCCCTGGTTTCTCCAAAGCACTGATTGTAAATCCTGGCTGCACATTCAAATCATCTGGACAAGTCTGAAAAACGCCCGTCCCTGCCTCCTAGACATCTCATGTTTCACTTCAATGTGTCTTGGCATGAGGCCCAATACGTAATTTTTGAATCCTCCCCAGGTGAGTCTCACCTGGGGCAGGGTCCTCAGAGGGTGGTCCCCCGGCCAGCAGCATCGTCATTATGTGGAGACTCACTAGAAATGCACAGCCCGGGCCGCGCCCCAAAGCTACAGCATCGGAAACTGCGGGGTTAACACAGGCCAGAGATCCATGTTTCAGCAAAGCCCGCCAGGTAACTCCCACATATGCTCAAGTTGAACACCACTGCATTAGGCTGTGTGCAGCCTTACCGATTCACCCTTCAGACAAAAACAATGCCTCCGATGGCAAAGCTCCTACAGTGTATGTGTAAAATGGAAATAGTTAACTGTCACTATTAACAGCCATCAAAATGGATGCTCATTTCTCAAATGACTTTCAGGTCTGAAGCTTCAAGCTCACCAAGGATCAGGCGGAGCCCAGCTCCGGGAACACCGAGAAAGGTGAAAACTGCAGCTGCGGGCAGCGGTCCGGACCCGCAGGTCCTCCGGAAGAACGGACCCAGGCACCCAGGGGAAGACAGTCGGGTGCCCCACGGCCTCTAGTGTGGCCGGTCTGGGAGAACTTCCACTGTGTTAAGGGACAGGGGACTGTGGGACGCACAGAATGGGGGAATGGGTGGGGCCTCAAAAATCAGTCTCCCTCCCACGCGGAAAACGTCATTCAACTCAAAGACGAGCGTTCTGGCAAGTTCTCTGAGGGAAGAGAACAAGGCAGCCCACAGAAAAACAAAACAAGGAGCCAGAGCCAGGCTGTTGGCTTCTGGGTCAAGGTCCCAAAGAAGCGAGAGCAGTGAAACCCAAGAGGCTCCCTCACCGCCCCACCCCTGCTTCCCGCCAGACGCCAAGGCAGAGGGCCTCACCTTTCACGATGGTGGCCTCCTTCAAGTGGTGGGACAAGAAGTCAATGCTAGCGTAGGTGTTGGCAGGGGGCAGGGCACCGGGACCTGGCCCCCCGCACCCGCCACCGG